CTGCATTAAAAAATTTAAATTCCGAAACAGGATCTTGCTTTTGTGATATTTATACATTTACGGGCATTTATTATTCAAAATGAACGTAATGCAAGTAAGAATGCTGTCACAGCACTATATTATTGCATAAATTGTATTTTAAAATGCTTAGTTATTTTTAATATTCTTCTTACTCTTAGAATCAGAGCCATGCTAGTTAGTACAGTAAAATCAGACTCCGTAATGATACCTTTTATAGGAGCATTAAATATAGCAGAAAGGGAAAATATTATTAAAAGAATTGCTGCCTTATGCTTATAGATAAAAGTATACGTATTTATTTATCTTTTGACTTTAAATTTATTATTTACGATACAATGAACCTTATTACTAGATTATATAAACATTAATATTTTTGCTGAATTTTACTGCCAAGATCTAGCAATATGGTTTTTAACGTTTGGCTTACTTAGATCGGAAAATTCTTCATTGAGTTTGCACATTGACATGTTGTATTTATACGAATCTGATGATTGTGCATTGGCTCTAGTTTCATTCTTAATTGCTTCATACTCATTTTCGAGCCAGTTTTCCTCCTCTGAGGCATAGGCTTGGGAAACCCCTCCAACGCTTGGGTTGTCATAAACTAGTGAAGGAGGCTCTGGAGGTCGAAATGAATATATATTTTTACATAAATTCTGCCACTTCAACTGGAGCGTCAAATCAGGTGCCTCTGTCACAGTCCCTTGCTGAAGATCTCTAGTTTTATATTCATTATCAGTGTTGGTTATACTATTAGTATCTCCCTTACTTACCGCATGATTTGAGTTTGATTTTTTACCCCCTTCGCCATAGGCCTCTAAGCCCTTTCTTTGAGGGATCCATCTCTTATGCTCCACATATTTGCTTATCTTAGCAGTAGCTTTATCTTTGGCTGTCGGCCACGGACTGTCAGATAACGATCCAAATTCAGGGCGACAGGCTGTACACGCCTGAATGGAAATCGAAAGAATCGGAGAATCAACTTGCTTGTCCATAACACTAGGTAAAGGCGTCATTCCGCGGGCTAAACAAGTCAGAAATTAGAAAAAAAAAATTTTTATATATTGGACAACTATAAATGTTGTATCCATGCCATTACGATTCATTTTTATTATGAATAAATTTTACAAAATTTCGACAATATTAATAAGCAAGCACGAAACTGTTTTAAGGAAAAGCGCAACTACTAGAAATCTATCTCTTATGATTAGCATGCTTAGTTTAATTTAGAATTATGATGCCTTTCCGCAATAGGCATTAACCATAAACTAATGAAATAAAACAAATGAATCTATTATAAAAAACTCGATTGCATTTATTGTGGGTGATAATATTGCTATTTAACTTTTAATACTTTAACATTCCACTTACAGAGCAGAATCAATCCTTATACAATAGTAATATCTATAATAATAATAATAATTTAAGGACATATAAAAGATTCAACAAGTCCCCATTTCTATCATACATGTTTTCTTTTATTCGAATAATTATCTGTCTGATTATAATCTAGTTTATTTATTATTAAAACATTTTAACTAGATATATATTTAATATATTTGCACAACACTCTTTCTCTTTGTTTGCGGCCTTAATGAATTTACCAATAGATAAAATAAACTCTTTAAATACAGAAAAATAAATGACTATAGGTCAAGTATTATTAGATTTACTTGTGGACTTGCATTGCTGACTTATATGAGGCAAATTTATTTACATACCTTCGTAATTAACTAAAAGTTAAGTACTAAAAATCCTTACCTTCATTAGTATAATCCGGTTTAGCATAGATAGGTAGATCCGACATTCTAATGGATTCTTTATCTTGCCTAACTCTAATCCCATTTTCGATTTCGGCTTTCTCTATTGTGGAAGCTGAGTGTCCAGTTTCAACGGAATTAGCCAAGGAAAGCTTTTGTGCTGATATATATTCGCGTAACGACTCCGTCTCTTGAGAAGTATGTCTGCTAAGAGGCAGCAAATTAGCAGACACCGAGATTTTTTCTTCGCTATGGCTAGATTTCAGAGTTTTTATCTCCAAATTATTTTCGCCCATACAACCAACAGTTTTAGATTCGTTTAGAGCTGAAAATATTTGAGCCGTCAGTAGGTAAGATCTAGATGTATTATTGAGATTCATTGTAAGTCTACGAACGTTCTTCTCCGGATGAAAGGCAAGTATATAAAGTTTCGGGGAAAATAAGCATACTAGTGTAACTGTGGCACTAAGGCTGATAGAGATACAGAGTGTCGCTACTTGGACCTACAAGAGATAGAATATAAATTACATAAAAATCTAAACGTAACAAAATGCGTTTCCTAACTTGCCTTACATAAGGATCAGAATGAGCAATATTAATTGGAAACATTATAAGAAAGAAAAAAAGAACAAGTTGTATTTCTCCTTACAAAATCACTTAAATTTTTAATATTGTATCGATTCAGTCAAGATTATTTAGCATAATAACAGTTTGCAGAGAATTAAGCGAGCCCTGGATGATTATATTACATGAAGGACGGGTTAAAGTTATATAAGTATTTTTACAGTTTTGCACTAGCGATAAATGTCATGCTTATGGATGGCCAAAATGTTCTCAAGGAATAATCATGACATAATAGCCTTAGGAAATTTGATCACTTAAAAGCAAATTAAATCCTAATGATATCATATGAGATAATTAGCATACAATAGCATGCTATGGATTTTGTCTTAGGACATATATATATGTATAAATGTATTAAGCTAAGAGATGGATTAACTATCATATATTCAACTCGAAATTATATACCAAAAGTAATATGCTACTCCTCTTGTGTCTTGTTAACCGAGTAAAATTGTTAAATATCTAAACAATAACTTTGCGATGCAATATTTCCAACAAAAAAATAATTAATACTACCAAACGAAAAATTGCGAAGTGGGTTGACCCAGTTTTTGCAACTTGTTACTGGTGTTGGGGTGATTGGGTTGTACGCACCTTATTCTCTGCTATTATAGTTATCCTAATTCCCAGCGTTAGGCCGTGGACTTGGTACATTTTCAGACGTTTCGTCGGCGTAATCAGTGAGTCTTGTTATTCTCAGCACCAAACTGATATATATATATATATATATATATATA